TAGTAGTATTTCTATACATCAGTTGCACTAAATTCAGGTATCATTCTGGAGAACTGAAAAGCTGCAGTGAGTATTATCTTCACCATTATATAAAAGTAAATCCTCTGTAAGTACTTAAGTAAGTTGTAACTAAAGAATTATAAAATACTAAAATAGATGTGGTGCAATAGAATAAATCCTGCCTCTTAAATAGTAACATTCTTTTTAAAGGCCAGCAAAATAGCAGATACAAGAAAAAAGCTTACAATATTCTAAAATATTTGTGAAAAAGATACTCAGAGATTTAGAAGTTACATAATCATGGAAAAAGAGCCTTGCCACTGACTAGAAACCCAGGAATAAGAAGAAAGTGGGGAAAATTGATTAAATCCATAGTGGACCTCTACTGAAGATTCATCAATGAACTAGAAAAAAAGAGACTGCTGAATAAATGAATGGGAAGTTCAGATAGAACACAGTCCGGCAAATGCAAAGGAAAAGCACCACTGAAGGAAAAAGCAGCATAAAAACATGGCAACTAAAAGAGGGATTATTTGCTTTCTATTACACATTTTCTCCATTTTCACTAGATGACTAGAATTGCTACTTGAATGAGATGTCATTTTATCCACAGTGAATTCTTCTTCCTCCTCCTAAATTGCCAGCTTCAGTACCACTGCCACCTTTTGTGCGCTGCACATGAATGCTGTAGTCGTGTGTATGCAATTCAACATGCTTACATGAATTAAGTATGGTTCCTTCATGTGGGGAACTCTGCATATATAACCAAAATTTGATTTACTTTTCAAATCTTTTATTTTCTGCTGCCAATCTGCCTGGTTTCACTTTTGTTTATTATATCTATCACTTTGTTTATTATGGGTTGGCTGCTAGTGAGCGTTCTCATATCCATACATCTAAGACTGACTAACAAACTGTCCATTGGACATCAACTGAGTTATCACATGAGACAGACCTAAGACCATTTCCAGGGTAACATGATGGTTGTCACTTAAATGTATTAATGTAATATTCTTTCATCTCCTTTATATACTTTTATAATTACACTTATGATATGTTGTATATTGTTATATGTATGTTCTGTCAGCTCCTACCACATTAAGAGCGTGCCACAACTGCTCGCTGATTTTCTCTGCCTGTCAGATGTGAAAAATCAAGGCTTTTCTTGCTGTTTTTAAAAGGACTATTTTGCTATTACGTTTTTGTTTTACTTAGTCCATCCCAGTAACATGAACATCCCAAAAATAAAGACGGCAACATTCTCCCAGTACTCCCCACCCAAAAAAAAGTTTTCTATTAAAAACTCCTTTGAACTATGTGTGCAAGCAGAAATGGAAATAGGAAGTCAAGGTCTAAAGCTGAAAAAAGTGGAGAATAAAATCTATTTTTTCTCTAATAAAGTTGCCAAAATGTGTGATGGAGGGCTTCCCAAAGTGGCAAACAGTTTAAAGGCAGGAAACACTGGGCAGACGGATGTCATTCGCTTGCCAACAAAAGTATCCCAGCACTGTCTCCTCTCCTCCAGCTTCATGGCTGGTGTGCTCAGAGTATCTATGGCCTATCCACCAAGCCAAGTTATCAAACCATGAGTGCTGTGGTCCTCACTTACTGTTGTTGTAATCTGCATATATTACTTAGGGGGAAAATAAATATTTCTCTCTCACTGCTGATACTTCACAGCATATCATCCAAAATCAAGCAGGCTCCTGCAGATTTACAAATTAATAGCATCTGATTTTACAAAAGAAGAGTAACTCCATTGCCTCTGAACTCTTAAAAAGCCACTCCACAACTGAGGAAAAACCCAAGAGTGGGTGCAGTACCCACTCCCACACAGGCCAGAAATTACCACCTTCAAATGCAGCCCATTAGCCTGAATTATACAGAACAAAACCTTCCACACAGCAGCACAGTCCTCCTCTCTGTTTCTCATTCGTGTGAGGTTATAACAGACGTGCCACAGTACCCAACGGTGGCAGCTCGGCGCAGATTATCTAACACGCAACGAATTTAAAGCACCAGCCTCTATGTTGAACAAACGGAAAGAATTTTTTAAAAATTCTAAATACCCACCAGAATAAAGGCCAGCAGGGAAGGCCTATGCTCAGCAAGCTTTGCATAGGTGCATCAAGCTCTTGTGTGCCTTGTAAGACCCAAGCAGGAGATGGGAAGAATGGAGATGCTGCCAGGCCAGACTTTTCCACTGCCTGTCCCATTGCAATGAAGAAACGGTGACTGCTGCTGCTGCCATATCCAGGAATCACAGGCAGCAGTGGAAAACAGACATTTCACCTTCGTAAATCTAAAATATGTTTACAGAGAGCTCTGGCAGGTGGATCCAAGCCTGATCACCTGGCATTTCCAATCACCCAAGCATCTCCTCACTGAGGTCCAAACCACATTCACCCATGCAGCACTGCCCACAGGCTGGCTGTGAATTTACGTATCCTTATGTTTTGTGTCCTTAAAGATATCTTTAAGGTATGTATTGCATTGCAACTTAATAGAACTAATGATTAACAATTACCTTCCTCAAGCAATTGCAAATATTTGATTGTATGTATGTGGTTACAACGGAGGAGAGCTGAAGCTGAATGATTAAGTACATACTCGGCTTTCTGAATGAGATATTACAAGACGCATTTCAAAGAGCTGATTTCTGGTTTGCTTAAAAATCAAATACTGCATTCAGCTGGTGCTAAGGTATGGAAAAACCGTTCTATTTGTTAACACCTTTAACAAGGTATAGCAGGACTACAGAATGTAAATTCTCAGTCTTTATTCAATGTTAGAAATTAAAAACATTAGATGTGGCTGGTCCCTGCGTCCACGGGAGTCTACAATTATATTTTAAATCTAGAATGCAAACGCAGTATCTTACACACAGATTAACAAATGAACTTGATTTCCCAGAGCTACGTGCTCTGTTCTACTACCAGAGTGCTGTTTTAATCAGAGGTCAGTTTTAATTTAATTCTACAGATAAATCACAACCATTATTAGTTCATTTAGTTGTGGTACAGGATGCCACATTTTAGAGGATCCAGTTTTTAAAAAGACTAGAAAACCCCAATTAATCTTTTTTTCCAAAAGAAAATGCAACTGACAAAACCTTGGAATGGCTTTTAGGACATTTTTAATGGTAATTTTGAATGGGTCTAATAAATATAACTGCCTCATTGAAATTATTTTCTTCTTTAAAGCATTTCATTATGGATGAAAACCATGAACACCACAACTTGTCAAAGCTTTACTCATCAGATGGAAATACATTCAACAGAACATTTTTGTAACACAAAATGAAAATACAGAAATATTAATCTAATCAGACAGTTGCTTGAAAACTCTCCCAGCCTTTTTTGGCATCTTAACCACAGCTGTGAAGTTATAATCACAATGCTACACCCTAATAGTGAAGGGATAGAAAATGTTACGCAATGTACAGTGTAAGCTCAGATACAGGTGAACAGCCTTGAGGCCATCTCTAGGAAGGAACTGGAAATGGGGAGTCCTAGCAATTTCCTTCCTTCCCTTTTTTGCCCAAGAGTGAGCAGAGGAAATCAACAGAAGAATCTCAACTAAACAGCCTCTGATTGAACACAGTGCACTTGTCTGGTCAATGTGATGGAGGAGGGAGCAGTGATAATTTACCACCTATCGCAGGCACGTTTGCCATTAGATAGCAGATGGGGATGGTAGGCAAAAATACCACACATACTGTCCATTCTTTCCCCTAATGCACAGCAACACCTGCAAGCTATGCAGGACAGGGATGCCTTGTTCAGCACTAGGCAGCCTGGCCATGCAAAGGGTTGGTACCCTGCAGCTAGCCATCTTCCCCTGCAACCAAGAAAGACGTTTGCTACATTACCTCAGTTCAATCATACTAACCATCCTAAAGGCAAGACAATTTTTCCCTTGAAATCCCACTAAGATTATCACATTGCATTTAATTGCTTCCAAGGAACAGACAGAGTGAATGAGCAAATGAGAGAGAGAAAAAAGTGAAGGAGGGAGTGAGAACAAAGGAATGAGAAAAAGCAAGAAAGGGAGAGGGAGAAATGCATTTGTGGTAAATGAGATGTCTTCAGACTTAACCCATTAAAGCCTCCGAAGTATGAAATACAGGTGGACAGTTACCAAAGAAATACCTACAGTAAAGCTTAGGATCTCTGCAATTTGATGCACCAACAGCAGTTCCTCTTGTAATATGTCACTGGCATGGCTTACCCCTTCAGAGAAAAACAGCTTGTTGCTTTGCAAACTATGGAATACCCAACAGTGCAAAAACCTTTAAAAAGGAGGCATAATTAATCTTTAAACCTTTGTAGCACTCTGAGATCAGTGTTTTACAGGGAATACAAAGTAGCAACTGTCTTAATAATGGCTCCTTTCCACTCTACATCCTCTAAACTTATCAAATGGTGCATTTAATTACCATTGCAGTAAACATCTAGAGCACTAAGGCCTTCTTTCTCTTTAAACTGGAAAAATAATGTTAAAATGTGCATTAAAAGTGATACACAGGGAAGGTTCTCACTGGACGTAAAGAAACAGTTTTCACTAGGAGGATAATTAGAAATTGGAAGAAGCTGCACAGAGCATTTGTGGAATGTCTGTTTCCAGGCATTTTCAGGACCTGATGGAAGAAAGCCCTGAGCAAACTCCTCTGAACTCAGTGTTGACCTTGCCTTGAGCAGCACACTGGATTAAGCAACCTCCTTCCAGTCTGAGCAGTTCGATGGTTCTACAGTCTACTGTCACATAAAAGCTATCAAATTCCATGAAAGCACACAGAGAACCCCAGGAGTTTTCAAAATCAGATGCATAATAATTTATGGGCAACATTAAATGTGTTTCCTGACAACAGGTATTTCTAACACTTTGTCCCCTCTAAAAAGCACACATATTCATTAAAGCAGACAAAGTCCCATCCAGCCCAAGGAAGCAGGTGCAGACACCCATGCAGAAAGCACTTCGCAGGTGTAACACATCCTCACCTTGAGATTGGGTTTTGAGAGGAGTTTCAACAGCTCTCTGATCTCACTGCTCAGTGGCTTGGTCTGCAGCTCCTCTGCCAGCTGGGTGGGATATGGAACCAACACAAAGACCATTAGCAAAGCACTGTTTTACCCAGTGCATCAGTGACAACCCAGAATCTATCTTGTTCAAGGTTATTACTTTGCAGCATGTTCAAACAGAAGCCAGCATGAAGAAAAACACCATCAATCACCGCATTTCTTTTTCTGGCCCTCGGTGGACCAGATTTAAGCCAGGTCTTTTGGCTCAGTTTAACACAAGTAATCATTTCTGGCGAGGGCGCAGCCAGATCGCATTCTGATTTATAGCAATGGGGGCAAATCCCAGCACTTCATTTAAGTGAATGGTCCTTTGCGTGTAGACAAAGGACTGCTTATAAAAATGACTGGATCAAACTTTGACACTGTCTATAAAAAACAGTTCCGAATGAGGTGGTGAAATCCACACTCCTTCCAAAAACCCACAGTAGCTGTGCTGTTTAGGACTGGGATAAGAAAGCAAAGTGCCCCTACAGTGCAAGCAATCTGAACCTTTTATTATGTTTACACATACACTGGAAGGAGCTCATTAAAAGTGAGGCAGGTTAATCATAATATAGTTTATAACAGGTCATCGGCAATTCAGACCCCTAAAATGCGCAGACTACGTCCTAACAACAAGATCAGTAATTTATGTTTGGTTATACTACAAAACTGTGGTTTGGTGAACAATAGAGCAGCAGTCTAACGTTTAATCCCACGGCTATTTGGCTCATGTCTTGAGTTTTCCTTATCATGACATTCTTAACTAATTTGGACTCAAGAGGCATATTTTACTGCAAGATTTCAGACACAAAAGTATTTTTCCAGAAGAAGGAAAAGCTAAGACGTATTTCACAGTGCTGAACGTTGGTTTAAAATTCTGAAGCTACATGGCTCATAATCCAAAACATGATTTCAAATAATCACTTATTTTCTTTGCATTAAATCACTATCATAAAAATGTCTCAAAAGAAAGATTGGTTATTTGCAGCAAGTCATTTTATTCACCTAGCCTAATTTTAAATTTGCACTCTCATTTTGTATAAATTTTCAAGACAAATTGATAGAACTATATTTGCATAATCATATATAACAGAGAATTTTAGAAGCAATTATAGTCATCAGACATGGTCTGGGATTTTTTTTTAATGTTAAAATTAATACAGTGGTAATAGGACTGAAACAAAAAGTCATCACCTACAGACCCCTTTAACTATTATTCACAAATAAAAGCATCCATCAAATACATCAATATTAATCTCAGCAAAATTTGTGTTTTAATACCAAAAGATTAGAAAATCATCTCTGTAAGAAAGGTTAGAATGAAATATTTTAGGCACATAAAATTTGTATTGAGGTAATCTGACTGCAATCCAGACTGCATGTTTTATGGGAAAGCTCTGCAAATCTGAAAATAATCTGTGATAAGAATGGCATATGACACATGACAGTAGTTCTCCCTGGTTCTCTTTTTATTCTTTAGCTTGCACTACTCATCACTAGAGAATAAAACCTGTTCATTTTATTTCATTGATAAAGACTAGTAATCACTCGGTATGAATGACTGCTTCAGCTCTTCCCAGATGAATTTTGCACAAGCATCTATTGACTTCAGCAGAATTGCAGTTTGCTTTAGTGGTGCACATGTACATGCAGGTATGTTAGGTTTAGAACAGTAAGAAACAGATAGAGTATTTTTGTTACTGCTTTAACAGGCTTTTTCATTTCATAATTCAGGAAATATTTGTTCAGGATGAAATAACTCAAAATTTGTTTTCACTCATGTAATTTACAAGGTTTTTCCAAATGTTTCCATAAAAGTCTTAAAGGCTTATGTAACACCCTGTGGTAGAAGAGAAGGAGGAAAGCAAAGGCTGGTAGAGAAGGAAAAAGACAAAACCATGTTTCCAGATAGGCAAGCAGGTATCACCAGAGCTGCTTGTTGTGCTTCTAGCACTTTTGGACTGGACTTTTATTTGTTGTTGTTGAAGTGCTGAGATTTGTGACAGCTACCAGCAGAGCAGATGCTATATGGAATACTTTGAGCACACTGCTACTGTGCTGATCACTTCCTATGCCAAAGAGCGCAGGAAAATCTGTCCGAGAACCTTTTCTGTGATTCTCTGTTGAAGGACATAACATTTCATGAAGCTCTTTATGAAGAGCTACCACTACAGAGAGTGTAAGAAAAAGCAAGGAGAAGGGCAGATGTGGAGTGAGACCAGTGAGATGAGGAGCACTGAGGCCTGGAGGTTTAAATCTTTTGGAGAAAGTTTTGAAACTCTGTTTGTCAGAACAGTCTTTCTAATAACCTCAAGCCCTTATTTGCCATATATACCTACACTGTCAGCAGCATTTACATAGTTTGCATTGATTCAGAAGTCCTCCATTGCCTGATGCTTCTGATCCAAAATAAGAGGCAAATAGAACCTCTGATGGGAAATTCGGCCTAAAAGTCACCAGGGGTGAGGAGAGAGAAAGTATGGCAGCTAGGAACATGAAAATGTTTAGTAAAGATGCCTCATCACAATTGTTACCTCTAAAATTCCTTTTAAAAATAACACAAGAATAAAATCACATTCCTTAAACAGCTTCTAGTTACACTAGCAGCACCTCAAATTTGGGTTTTAAATCAGAGAGGAAATATTCACTTGTTAATAAGGTTACCACCTTCTTTGCTTAACTATACAGCAGTTACTATCACAAGGAAGATAAAACATTAATTTAAGGCCTATTAAAATACAAGTGTGTTTTACCTCATCAATGTGCCTTTAAATCCCTGACGCTGACAACTAGTCAGACAAATGTGCCAAAAATGGAACAGCACTTTAAGCCTGGAACTTCATAGGTTTTGGAGCTACAAAACCCACTGCATGTAAATTAATGCCCTCAAAGTTTGCTGATAAATACTGAAACACTGAAAATTCTGCAGTGTGCTAGCCTGGCTTCAGCTGCCAAAGGACATCCTCACCCTAGAGGACAGTGCCCATAAAACCAGCTGCTCAGCGACACATAAGCAAAAACTGAAGAACCAGAAAAAGGATCACTAAAAAGAAGCCGTGCTTTAAAAGTAGGCAGATGTCTATAGACACTTGTGTCCCAACATGTGTATGTTTTAAAAATACTACCATATATACATAATAATACATTCATAGGGTTAAAACACCTGACCTCTCCCAACTGAGCACAGTACTTTAATTTGGGGATTTCCAAAGGTATATGGTTTAAATGGGGCTGAGCAAAGAATGAGATGGCTCAGCATTTCTGAAAATCTCAAGAACTGAGTTTTGCATCCAAAAATAAGAAATGATTCTTATTAAGAATTTTAGTCCAGAGATCCATAACACAAATGTTAACAAGGATTATTAATATGTCACCAAGAACTTAATGAAGAGAATTTCAACCAGCTTTCTAATTTTCAAAATTACTATCAACATTATTCAAAGCTACTTGAAGGTTAAAAAAATATTACTAATATATGCCTGATGTCAGAGCTCATACATTATTATATTTGGTATGTTATAGGATACAGCTCTCCTCCTACCGAAACATGATTAAATTACATTATATCCTTTTTCCAACAGACTTCAATTTAATTTAGTTTTTCATTAAAATCCTACCATTCTTAATTCACGTCATCTAATAATTTGTAAAATTCAAAAATCAAAAGCTATTAATGACATAAAAAGACAGTTAAGATTTTAAACCATCCACAATTATATGACATTCCAAACATGCTGTATTTGACACAGATCCTACTACATACTGCCTTTTCCAAAAAACAACCTGAGATCACCAGTTGCAACAAAGATTTCTGGATTTCACCTAAACCACAGTCTATTAAACATTTCTTTATCCTGCCTACCTCAGGTTCAGTCATAGTTTATACAGGTGTGTGCACAATTCATCTGAATCCTAAAATTAACCAAATTGCAAGGAATGGCAGGTTAGTTTTTTTTTTTTTCTTTAAAATAAAAATTACAGTAACAGGAAATTAACTACTCCATCAATGCCAACCACTTTTACAATTTATTTTTTGGTTATGAAGGTAATTTGGAAAGCTCCAATCTCAATAAATCACTAATATACTTTTTCTTAAATAGTTTTTGCTTATTTCTTCTTAACAGGCCTCCTTCCTAGGCATTTCATACGCTTCACTTCTGTAGTATTATCTGTCATTTTTCATGTTCTGTCAGCAGTGCTGCTATCTCATTTGTCTTTATATTTCCAAAGCATACCTCTTGTCTGTGACTTTCTCAAAACGCTAATGGTTGACAGCTTTTCCCCTCTTACCTGACTTCCAAACTGTAATTTCTATTACACAGTTACTAAAGCAGAACAAGAGGCTATCTAGATGCAGTGTTTTTATAATAGGCAAGTGAATAAAATTCAAAGTAATATCAGCAAGAAGCTCAGTGATGACAGCACCTTTGGAAACACTTGCAGCTTCTTATGATTTCAGCTCAGAGGATTACATTCATATGTTTGTACTACGAGGAGTTCTGCTTGCAGACAGATTTTTGAGACACTTGGTACCAGTGATCTCAGCAGGGGACACTTACATCATCTGCCAAGGCTGCTGCACCATGGAGTATGGGCACTGGGTTCTGTTTCTCATAATAATGCAGTTTTTCGTGGATCTGGAAAACAATAGCACAAAGCAATAGGTTTATTTAGCAGCACAAGAAATGGTACAAAATTATCCTGTTGAGCTAACTGATCTGTTGAGTGTATGTAACTAAAGAAACATCCTTATAGTAACCTACAGGCAGCAATCATGTAAATGTAATTCATCATCATCCTCTGTTGAAGTGCTAAGAATATGAAATCAGATGGAAAAAATGCTCAGTATGTAGACCAACCCACAGAAAACTAAACATTTGTGATTTTTGTCTCCTGGCTTTCTCTGTCCATATTTCTAACGTAAGTATCAATTACATTTTATATTGCTGTTGAAAACACAAAGCATAAAGTGTTTATCCCCACGATAGATATAAAAAACCCTGTAAATTATGATTTATGAAGTGAAATAATAGCCTGCCACCCACAGCTTGACAGACAGGTTGGTAGAATGGCTGCCATCATTAAAATAATTCAGAATCAAGGGCAAAGTAGTGCTAATAAGAATTCAAACAGGCCTGAAAGAAAAAGGTAATCCTTCAGCAAGTTAAAGTCACTTAGGAGCATTCCAAGTTTTTAACAGGGAGTTAACAACATTAGAACTGTCATGTACTTCGGTTCTCTCAAAAGAGGAAAGGATACTCCTTCATTTAAATATCCAGCCTCTTCCCTTCTCCTCAAGTTAGGCAGTTCAAAATTTATGTTTTTTCCAGTGTGAATGCTTTAAAGAGCCACAACATTTTAAAGATTTTAACAAGTTTCTTAAAAGTTATTTCAGAACAGCATAAAGTACTATATTAAACATTGAACTTTACTACATTATTTTCTTGAAGATACAGATGTACAAATGTTAATTAAATTTTTTAAAAAGAAAACAAGAGTAGTCTGAACTTCTGCAAATACACCATTCTTAGATTTCTACTTTAGTTCCACTGGTCTGAAGAAGGCATGGGCTCCAGATGGTTGGAGGAGCTGTAGATAGAGCTAAGGTCAGGGACTTCTCTGCTTGGGAAGACGGGGAAGATGAGGTCTGGCAGAGGCCATGGTGTGCAGAACTTGGCTGGGGAATCCTCTCATGTCCTTGAGGTACAGGAACCCAAATGATACCCTACTCCATGCTGATGCACTGATAGAGGAGGTACGGGACAGATGCCAGGCAACAAGGACAGCTTTAAAGAGTGGCCAAACTAGCGGTCTTTGCAAACTGAAATTGTCTGGAGTTGACTGGATTGTATTCATTTCGCACCAAGTGGAGGCCGGTGAAAAGGAGGGTCAGGGGAGACCTTACTGCACAATGTGAGAAGAGGCTGCAGTGAGGCTGGTGTCAGTCTCTTCTAAGTAACAAGTGATAAGCTTCATGTCGTGCCAGGGGAGGTTTAGGCTGGACATCAGGAAACGTTTCTTCATTGAAAGGGTTGTCAAGCATTGGAACAGGCTGCCCAGGGAAATGGTTGAGTCACCACCCCCACAGGTATTTAAAAGGCATGTGGATCTGTCACTTAGGAACAAGGTTGAGTGGTGGGCTTGGCAGTGCTGGCTTAGCGGTTGGACTTGAAGATCTTAAGGTCCCTTCCAACCTAAATGAATCTATGATTCTGTGTCTGTTTCCTCCCATCCTCCTCCCTCTTCCACATTTGCTTTTTTCCTTTTATTTTCACCCTCAGCAGCATTGCTCCCCTCAATGCCCAGCACTCCCTCAGACTTCTGCTCAGCCCCTTCTTTTGAATTTAAACTGAACTCCTAACAACTACAGCCATAACAAGATAATGCCATGTCAAAAACGTTTGTGCCTGCCATTTTTCTTGTCTTCTGCTGTGCCTCATTACACTAAGTCCACGTCTACTTTTACTCATTTAGACTATAGGTTCTTTGAAGTAAAGGCAAAAAAAAACTCTGTTAAGCAATGTGGCATAACAAGATCTAAGTCTTGCTTCTTTCTTTCATCATTTCTGTGATCTTAAGAACATTATTTCTGTATGTCATTGGTGAAAGGATACCAAAGTTCTGAAACGTCAGGGTGAAGCACGAAGACACCACAGGTGCTCAACTGCTAAGTTGTAAAATTATTTTTTCTGAACAGCAAGTATTTGTAGCTCATCTGGAAACTAAATGCAAAGCACCACTATCTCCAGAACAAGAGTCTGAATTTTACATAGCATATGTAGACATTGTTTACTCAGTAAAGTTAGACTAAGCCATACTGGATGCCATCAAAAGAATAAGTGACTGGGAAACTTCATATTACTAGCTCAAAAAGCACAGAAACTAAACAAAATAAAAAGCTGCAGCTCCCTGAGTTTAACAGAAAATTGTGATTTACTTAGACTGTGAACCTGAGCAACTAAAAGGCCAGGTAAATCGAAAAGTCTCAAATCCATAATTTTTTTGATTGCTTTGGCCAACATCTTGATTTTATCCAGGCTGAGCTTCTGTCAGCTCTGAGGTTAAAAGCAGTTGCCTATGCTTCTTTCTACTTTCTCAAAAAAACCAGAAGTGCTACTGCCAGTGAAGTTGTTTTTACCCTGGACAACCTGCAGGTGTCTTTACCAGTAAAATTAAAAAAAAACCCAAACAAACAAACAAACAACAAAACCACCAAACAAACACAGAGACATTCTTGAATAACCCATCTTTGAAAATATGTTATAAATCTAAATTAATGCAACTAAAAATAGGGTTTTAAGAGGAGATACTGTGCAACTTTAAAAAGTTATTGACTCTGCTTATAAACAGCAAGTGGCTCAAAACAAATTTTTATTGTCCTAAAAGTGGATATTGGAATCTAGTTCAACATTTAAGGAAAATCATTAAGATTTTATTTGATTATGGAGGAGTTGTAACTGTTGGAGAGTAACTGTCTAACCAAATCTGGAGCAATCAACAGAAAGTAATCAATTAAGCAGGAAAATTTAACTGCTCCTACACAGTTCTAGAATTTGCTTTTGCTACATCAGACTGGAAGTTTTATTGATCTGCTGTACCACCACAATGAATGACTCTAGGGCTAAACATTATATTTTCTATGGTAAGAGACACTGTAAACTTAGCACACTTCCATTTGAGATGCAATTTAGGTATTTTTAGTAAAAAAAAAAAATAATCTGATTTTATTTAATAGATAGTGTTTTGCCTTGTTAGCTGAATCTGTTTTTTTTTAAACCAGATGACAAAATCTGTCTTCCACCCCATTGTAATTTAAAGGATTTACCTAAGAAAATTAAAAAAGCACTGGTCCATTCACAAAGCTGCAATCAATACAGTATATAAAGATTACCCTTCCTATCAGTATAAAATAACTGGATGCATCATAAAAACGTTCCTTCCTATTGCTTTCATATGGTTACTGCCTACTTCTAACTTCCAGATAACTATTCATAATGTATGCAGCACTTTATACATAATAGCTTCCTGAATGCAGTAAGACAGGAGATTTGGTGCAATTCAATCGACAAAGCAAAAAATTCTGTGAGGCAAAAATGCATCTTCAGGCAATTTCTACTCTCCATGTGTCTAAAAATATGTTCCAAGATGGTTTTGTCCCTAATTTTACCCACAGATCATAGTAAGGCTGACAGGCCTCTAGTCCCCCACAGCGTATTTTTGGCCTTTTTTGAAGATGGGTACAGCACTTGCCTTTCCCTAGTCACTGGGGACTAAGTCATCTTTAGTTGCCTTTCAAGGATGACAAAGCACACTTGAAGACTCATCTGGTGGCCTTTAAATTTTCTAGACTTCAGGATGATGAATGACTGCATTTATGACAACCACCTTTAGAAAAACTGCTGTGCACACAGCCAAACTTCCTGGCACTTCTCCACATGCTGTCTTTCAGCTAATTATTTTCCCAAATCTGAACTTTGTAAATCATGCTAATACATGCACAAGTGGCATTATACTTCAAAAATTAAATTCTCACACAAGTAGAATTTGAAGTTGATCTATCTAGATGAAGTGATCACATTCATGGAAATGAATACAGCGTGAGCTAGGCAAATACAGAAATGAAAACAAAAGAGGACAAGGTGGCAAAAGTCCTTTGCCCCTTTACAAATCTCACTTAATGACATTTAACTGTAACAGAAATTAAAACCATCCTGAAACACTTTGATAAAAGTATGAGAGTGGGTTCAAAATAGTGGAAGAGAGAGCATTTACCTACTCAAGATAAAACATGTCATATTTGGAACAATTTGTTTGAGTTTCATTCTAAAGAATTCTATTTAATACAAAAGGTAAATTCATCTTATATTCTGTGGCTGTACCAGATGTCTCTAGTAGAAATGTATGGAACATGTGGAGAATACAGGACTGCATCATGTGTACAAAATGGAAAACATAGTACATCTGGTTTAAGTTCTTATGACATTCAAGTATAAAGCGTGAATGCTTGAACCCTGAAAATCTCTTCACAGATGAGACCGAGTCTGCTAAAGCAAAAGTTGTGTATTTTAAGTAAAACCTACAAATCTGTGCTGCTGAACAGGTGACCAAGTTGCTGGGTGTTTTTTTGTGTATGTGTAAGTTTGTGGGTTTTTTTGGTTTTGTTTTTGTTTGGTTTGTTTTTGTTTGGTTTGTTTTTTTACGACTCCCTATTCTTTACACTGTAGGGTACTTTGGAAGGACTTATGAGGTTCTGCAACAACTGACAATCTACTGTGAAGATATTAACCTAAGAGGGAAAAATAATAATCTGCAAATTTATACAAATTTCTGGCATATTTTAGGCAAGCAAAATGGTTTCTGGATTTTCCCAGAGAGACTAAATTAAGCTTTCTATAACAAAGTATAGCAGAAATATGTTTTCTGCAGTGTCCCCAGCTTGGACTATGTGAAAGCCCACAGAGAGCTTTCTGAGTCAGGAAAACAAAAATCTTAAGAAAAAAAAAAAATCTTTAAAATAATTTTAATTTCTCCTTTTAGATTTCTTAGTTTCCAATTCCAGGTACAGTTCCAATATCATATGGATAAAAAAAACACAGGGGAGGGGGATAAGCATGTGCACAGAATAATATCACCAGTT